TCGAACACACCCATAGAGTATTTGTTAGTTATTTTAATGAATTGTGACTTAATTCCATGTAAATTGTAATTGTTCGGTAATGATCCATGAAAATGGCAGAATTTGAGAAAAGGAACGAACAGAGGGCAAAATTGCAAGTAACTCAAAGTTTGAGGACTAAAGTATGTTCAACAAGTTATCTCAAATCTCATGATGAAGATTTGAGCGGGTTAGGAGTAAATTGGACGAGAATAGAAAACAATGGGATGAAAAGAAATGAAGGTAGAACAAAATGTACCTTAAGAAAGTTCATGTAGTGCCCCGAAAATTTTATAGAATAAAACTATTCGTCCTACTTTCTATATTTTTATAATTTTGGAAAGTTGATGTACTAAAGTAAAATAATATTAATTCAATTTTATTTTTGTTGGAATATTTAGATTTCGATAGGATGAAAATAAGTATATCAATATTGGGCTCGTTGGATAGCTCGTAATTAATCACGTATATCAGATTCGAGAAAAAATTAATTCAGATAAGCGAAACCTATGTTATTGAAGTTTAAAAAAGTTGTCAATAAATATTATTTTATTACTTTTATTTTTGATTTGTGAAAGTGGCTGTCACGCGGGATTGTTGAGATTGAATTAAAATGTGTTGTTTTATTTGAATTGGATAAAAGTTTTAAGTAAATTGGACCTTCAACTTGTTATTGGACACTTTTCATATATTTATTCATTTATGCAATCGATGTTTACATAGAAAAAAGTCAGATTTCTTTCATCATACTATATAATTTTTATAAACACAGCGGCATACTGAAAATAAAGTTGGAGCGTGATTTTGGTTTTGTCCCTCCAAAAATTTATTTGATCTAACGAAGTAGGATAACGAGTTATAGTTGCTTTTATCCTATTTAAATTATTTTTTCGTGTTGTTGAATTATTATAATTATGAAAGTTTAAAATTATAATATGATATGTATGATTGGTCACCTGGTACCAAAAAAATGATATGTATTGAACTTTTACCGGTCCCTAAAGATATGATAATGTTATGATATTTTTGATGTATGATTTAAACAATTTATTCCGGATTCATCATTATTCGTGTCCTACTGAGTATTTTCATGTATTCATTATTTTTCCCTACTCTTTATAGATTATAACGGGTCGTTGGTTGACGAACAATGAGGTGTAGTTGTGGTGCCAGGATTTATGAAACTCAATAAAAATAATCTAGTGTTATGTGATTGTGGATTTTATTTTTAGCATTGTTTTAGTTTTACCATCACATGGATTTTGTTATTTAGGATTTGGAATATATTTTATTTGGTTATGCTTTTTATATGTTTTATTTATTATCGATGGAACGAAAAATTTTATGTTGTGATGTTTGATATGTTTATTTAAATTATTGGATGAAACTTTTAGAGCCTATTTGGGAGTGATTTTTTCCCAAAAAAAATTAATTTTTTTGACCGTTATTTCATTATTTCAGCCGTCATATTTGACTTCTTCTCTCACAGGTAGACCCTACTTTTCTCCTATCGATTCAAAAATCAATTCGCAAAATTAGTTCCAAACAGACTCTTAATGGTGATTTAAATTTTAAAATTTGAGTTGTTACAATTTGATGTTATCTTTCAGGTTTCATTTTCCTATAGACTAAAAAAAGGGATTTCCGTGTTTTATTATTTTAGATTATTTAGCATTATCCTTATGGGTCCATGTGAATTACATAATATATTTTTATCAGCATTAAAATTTGCATTATATATTATATTTACGACATGACGAACTATGACGAAGAAACATGTGACTATTTTGAAATTTAGCCGAGCTCACGTTGCTTGCTCCATTTTGTATATTGAGAACTTACCATTTATTTATTTATTATTTTTTTAAATGAAAAAATGAGAATGTCATATTAGTATTGAAGTTTCATATTTTAGATGTTACATATAATAAATGTCTATTTGTTTAGTCCTAACTATTCGTGATTTATTAGTAATTTAGATATTTTTTTTATTATTAATGAGTTTAAAGTACTATGTAAATTTTTGTTAAGTTTCTAAACATGTAATAGTATAAAAGATTCCTAGCGCTGAACGATCACTTATCGACCACCTCAGATGACTCTAAGGTACATAATGTGGTTAAGGAAAGAAATAGTTATTAAATTTTTTTATGTAAATTTACATTTTCTACTTGTCTCCTTATAGATTTTATGATATGCACGTTTCCCTCGCTAAATTTATGATTTATATCACGAGTAAAGCATGATTCCTTTACTTGTATATGCAAGAATGAAATACGTTATGTTGCCAAAATAAGAATGTAAGCATGATATGTTAGGCTTAATGCTTGGGTGAAAAAATGACTTATACACATAGAGACCATATTAGAATTGTACTATGATACATAGAAAATTGATATGGATGAATTATTTATTTATTTATTCATAAGGATGAGTTTATGACCAAGTATCAAGAACTATTCGATTACTAAAAAAAAAAATTTCGAGGACAGAATTATTTTAAGAAAGGAAGATTGTAGAGTCTCGAAAATTTTATAGAATAAAATTATTTGTTCTACCTGCTATACTTGCTATATTTTTATAATTTTGAAAAATTGATGTACCAAGGTAAAATAGTATTAATTCAATTTTATTTGAGTCAAATATTTAGATTTCGATAGAGCAAAGATAAGTATATCAATATTGAGTTCGTTAGATAGCACGTAATTACTAATTTATATTAGACTTGAGAAAGAGTTGATTTGAATAAGCGAGGCCTAAGTTGTTGAAGTTCAATGAAGTTGTCAATAAATATTATTTTATTACTTTTATTTCTGATTTGAGAAAGTTGACATTAAATAAATGCCATAGTGGTCAAGCTTCCAATAATTGCAAAGGAGAGCGTAGGTTTCTAATATCTATTGTTGGAATATTTCCATGGGAAAATTGTTGTAGCGGTCCCAAACCTTTGAATTTTTTGCGGACTTTACCTTAACCTTCAATTTTTGCCACTGTCAATTCCAAACCTTTGAAAAAATTAGCACCTGTGGTCCAAATAGATGGATTCCATCCATTTAGACGTTAGTTGCCCAAGAAATGTGTTTTGATCAAATTTAAAAAGAACAAAATGGTAAATTCATAATCATTCCACATAAAATAATTAAAACAATTTAAAAAAAAAAAAAAAAAAGAGAATGACACTGTTCATCTTCTCCAACCACTCCCCCTCCCACTCCAACCCATTAAATCAAACCCCAATCTACTCACCCTAGCCATCAAAACTAACTCTCAATTAATTCATCTTGAAAAATGATAATATATTGATATAACTTCATATTCTAGATGTGGTATGACAGATCTTCAAATATTTTCTAAGTCAAGAAAGATTTTTTGCCATTTACTCCACAATTCCATTTGAGCTAATGATTATGAAAGTCTGCTTCCTCTATTTTCTGGTTTTTCTCCAAATTTGGTGGATGGAAGAAGGTAAACATTTTGCAAATTTTTAGCCTTTATTTTTCAACAGCCTTTTATTCATTGTTTTTCTTGTGAAATATAAAAAAAATGGTAGTGATATCTTGAGAGAAGTGTAAGTTGCCCCGAGAGGAAGAGGCTGGCCGATTATTAGTGATAGAATCAATTGGGTTGGGGGATGGGGGTTTGGAGTGGGAGTGGGAGTGGGAGTGGGGGTGGGAAGATGAACAGTTCCTCTCATTTTTATTTACTTATTTTTGAAATTTCTTTTAATTATTTTATGTGGAATAATTATGAATTTACTATTTTGTCCTTTTTAAGTTTGCTCAAAACACTTTCTCTTGGTTAACTAACATTCAAATGGATTCCATCCATTTGGACCCAGGTGCTAATTTTTCAAAGGTTTGAGACTGATAGTGGTACAAATTGAAGGTTAAGGTAAAGTCTGAAAAAAACATAAAAAAAAATTCAATTTATTGATTCTATCGCTGTTGCAATTTTCCCTTAATTTAAGTTATAATTTGCTACGTGATCTTTTTCAAATACACATTCACACAAAAATATTTTACGCATATATCAAAAACTTTTTCCTACTTTTTGACTAAACATTCTCCTAAAAATTACTATTCAAGACTCATTTTTTTTTTAAAGAATAATGGTTGCCAAACAGCCTCTAAATGTTTCATATGTTGAGAATAATGACTTCTTTTTGCAATTAATAAAGATGATTGTTGAGTTTGATCCAATAATTTGAGAGAACATTCGATGTGCTCAAGCACGTGAGATTCAATATACATATCTTGATCCTAAACTGCAAAATTAATTGATACAAATGTTGGCAAACGTAAAAAATATTTTCCAATCACACTTCATCATACTTTAGAAGTGAGTCGTCGGGAGAAACTTTCTTTAGTAATATGATGTGTGGGTGCAACAAACTCAATGACTATAGAAGAATTTTGGGTTGAATCTTTTAAGTTAGATACATCAAGACTCCGATTTTCAAACATGTTAACCAATCTTGAACTTGAACTTAGAAAATATAAGAGGGCAATGGTATGAATATCCAACATGGGAGCGAGATAGAGGTGTACAAAAATGATTTCTTCAAACAAATCCCACATTTTTCTATACTCCATTTGGCTAGCAATATGTGATATGACGACGTCCTAAAACTATATCCTTATTTGAGATATGCAATGAATATTTTCTACTTTTCTTGTGTGACAAAAAATTTAAAGATAAGATGGAAGCTCTAAAATTTAAGCAATTGTCGCAAAAAAATAAATAAATAAACAAAAACAAAAACAAAAACCCTTGAAAAGTCATATGAAAAGAGTGAATAAACTCTTCCAATCAAGTAATTATTATTATTATTATTATTATTATTATTATTATTATTATTATTATTATTATTATTATTATTATTATTTTCCTTTAAATACTAACACTACTACACATGCAATATTGACTACCAACATTTGATTCGAAAGGTTCATGCTTCCTTGTATTGGCATACGAGAAAAAAAACTAATTATCAATCTAGAATTTGACTTTAAATCTCTCGAACACATTAATCAACATAACAAGGTTTTCTTGCTAGGGAAAAAAACTGAAACACTAGTTTGTGTCCATCGGGATCTTGAAACTTGACTCCGTCTTTGGCAACTTCCTCTTTTCGGGACGATCAACTAAAGATAGCCTATAAATTTCACCAATATTAAAACTAAATTTCAAAGAACTTTATAAATTAAAAAATAAAATAAGATTGTATGTGTTAATATATAAATTCTCGTGAACTGCACATATGGTTCTAAAATTTAAAAATTAATTAATTAATTAATTAATCGACTGAACCTACTCCAAGCGTAAAGAAATATCCGAACTCCCTTCTCGAACAGACGTCAATGCTGTACCATAATCTTTTCTACCAAGTAGACGATGAGATCGTGACAGCCCAACTTGGTGCTTAAGCTCCTCAACCTGTATGTACACAGTGATGAGTGATTAATTAATAATTAGCCACTCTAAATTCAATTTTTGTAGAGTGAACTATTTAATTATTTCCGAAAAGAAAAGAGGAGAACAATAAGCGTTTGATTGGTTTTACCTGTTCACGAAGTGCTTCATTTTGTTGTACAACTTTTTGTCTCTTTCCATAATTTAACAAAAACATAAATTTAGTAAGATAATTCGAAAAGATTAATAAAGAAAATATTATGAAAAGTTAAACAAAATTTATGATAAATAAATAATTTAGTGAAACTACAATCTTTAAACATTTTAGGTTGTAAATTTTTTTGAAAAAAGTTAAAAAAAAAAAAATCAATGAGGCAATAAATGCTTTTCCTACTCCATTTTCAGCTATCTTTAGATCTTTAATTTTTTAAAAACATATTTCTCCTTAAATTGTTATTCAAATTTTTACCTGCAGTTTCGATTTTTCCAGCTTCTCGAACAGCTTTTTCTCCTGAAATTAAAAGAAAAGAAGAAATTAATCAAGTCTTATATCCGATAATTTTTTTTAGAAAAATGATAAAGAAAAGTTTTAAAAAAAATAAAAATAAATACCTTTTCATTTTTTACCAACATTGCCCCTTCGGAAAGTTTATGCTCCATATCCTGCAATTCTTGTAAACTCAACCCGCCGAGCTCTTTTCCTAGCATCCGCCTTCATTTTCATGACGTGGTAAAAAAAAAAATTACCATAAAGCAAGAGGAATTACGAAAAAATCACGTATTTATTTTACAAATTTATATTTACACCAAATTATATTACTTATATGAAAAATGCAGTGCAAAGACATACCTGTGCATTAACTTGAGCTTTTCAAGTTCATCTTTCAGGGCATTTACGTCAGCATGCACCTCCACCTTCATATAACAAAGTTTGGGAAAATAATCGAATATATATATATATATATATAATTTTTTTTTTTTTTTTTTTTGGCACGAGAAATTGGAATCTTTTATAACTAATAAAATCTAACTAGTTAATATACATTTAAATGATTGTTCAATTTTAGAGGTGGACATTTAATCGGACCAGAATCCCGAGGCTTCAAAAATTACATTTACAAAATGAGCCATGCTTGATGTATAGAAAAAGTTTTCACAAAATACTGCCAGAAAACACACTTAGGGGGGTGGGTAGGGTATTTTTTGGCAATTTTTTTCATGGTTGGCCCTACATCATGAGAATATTCTGGCAACATTCTGTAAGAAGTTATTCTGTACATATGAATTTATCCTTACAAAATAGAATTTTGCTATTCTACCGTGTTGAATTTTCCAGGGTATGTACAGGTAACTCACAATGGAGGTGGGTCCCACCCCAATAAAAAATTGCCAAAAAAAAAAAAAATTACCAATCCTCTTGTATGTGTGTAACCTGTACAAATACTATAAAATTTCAACCTGGTAGAGTAGCATCTCTCTGCAAAACAATTGAAATTTAATGGGTGGTTCCGATCAGTTGAAATATCTTGATCCAACCACTTGATGATAACTCCTAATCAAATTATATCAATTAATTCAAGAATCTTAAGATCAAATATTTTTACATTTGTATAGCTAAAATATGTGTTTCACAAAAAAATAGAAAAAATAAAAAAAATAAAAATAAAGAACTATAAATGTTTGAATTACCTGATTCGCCACATTCTCGAGTTGGGCAACTTCAAAAGGGCGCAGACTCTTGTACCTTTCTATGATATGTTCCATGCTGCAAACATGAGAAAAATAAGTAAAAACATTGATGAGTAATGCAGTTCAAAAATTGGGCTGCAAGATTTGGACCACTTTGAAATAAAATCTAGGGCAACTTACAAAAATACCCTTAAAATTAGAAATGTTTTGAAAAATCATATGAAAAATTTTTTGGAAGTAAAAAATACTGTCTAAAATAAAAAAAGTGACATAATGTCACTTTTGTTATAAAAATTGTCACTTTTTTTCAAAAAGAGTGAAAAAAGTGACACAAACTCGAAAAAAGTAACACAAACGCTTGAAAAGTGACAAAATTCAAAAAAATGACAAACACAAAAATAGTACCATCCATTTGTGCAGAATCAATAATCATATTCTTAATATAATCAGCATATCCAGGACAATCTACATGAGCGTAGTGGCGGTTCTTAACATAATCAGCATGTCCAAGACAATTTACATGTTGATTATGTTAGGAAAATATAACATGAAAATTTTAAAAAGTTTCGAAAATTTAAAAAAATGACACAAATTAAAAAAAAAAAAAAGCTACACAGATTTAAAAAATGACTGAAAATAAAAAAGTGACAAACAGTCCAAAAAGTGACACAATGTCACTTTTAAAGTTAAGTATCACTTTTTTTTTAATTAAAAATGACATACAATGTCACTTTTATTAAAAAGTGATGCTTGCCGTTAGAAAAGAAGAAGGAAAAAAAAGGTGATAGAAATTAAAAAAAAAATGACTAAAAAAGTGACAATTATTAAAAATAGTGACAAATACTAAAAATGTGACAAAAATTCAAAAAGTGAAGGAATTTTTAGAAAAAATGGCGAATTCAAAAAAGTGACATAAATCAAAAAAGTTACACATATTAAAAAAGTGACAAAATTCAAAAATTGACAAGCTCAAAAAAGTGACAAAAATGAAAAAAGTAACACATTTTCAAAAAAGGTGACAAAAAAAAAGTAATAAATACTAGAAAAGTGACGAAATTCAAAAAAAAAAAGTGACAAACACTAAAAAAAAGTGACAAAAATAGTATGATGGTGATTTTCTTGTTGACAAAAGTCAGTCTATAATCAAATTCGTGCAAGATACGAAATCATCCAGATATAAAGCAATTTTCACTTTTTGCGCACCTCCAACCATTTCACCATGATATATTTGCAATAGTATTTGCATCTTGCTTGTAGCTACAATAGTTCGACTTTGAGGTTTAACATGCCAAAGCAAATTTATAATTCCCCAATATCCATTAGACATGTGATAATAATTAAAAATATGTTTGTAACATACCATAATTAAAAAGTGGCTTACACTCCAAAAGTGACAAGAATATGTTACTCACATGCTACGTAACAAACTCACAAGTAAAACTATTTGCCATGAGTGCGCAAAAACACAAAGTCACACTACTCTGGAAGTCTATGACCACTGAAACAACACTATCAAGTGAAAAATCTCTTTCTCAAGAGTTTCTTCTTCATCTCCAAAAATGTAAATGATTTAGTTGCAAGTAATTCAATTGTCAACTTTTCGCTTCTTGTTTACTTTTACTAGCTTGAATCCCCATAATTTTTTTGCCAGGATCTTTTCCATGACTAATTTTGAGTTCTTCAATGACCTCCATAGGTTCTTCCATCAATTCAAAGTCCAAGACTCCAAAATTGCCCTCAATATCTTCTTTATCCTCAAGTTCAACACCATAATCCATGTTTCCAACAACCCCAGGTCAAAATCTAGAGTTTTAGGATTCAAAACAAAGCTCTGCTTCGAATAGTAGGAAAGCTCAACTCTCTGCATATTCAGATTTGAACCTTCATCAAGGTTCCTTCTTTTTTGTGCTTCAAATTCTTCGTCATCAAAGAAGTAGCATCGGAATCTTCGCATTTTGAAGATTTTTTAGGAATGTAACTCATTGGAATTGAAGCATTGCAACCATTTGAACAGTTTAAGCTACTCTCTCTGTTGACACAATGAATCAAAAATACTCGATCTCGTTATTGAATTACAATTTTGCATATGAAATTATTGGAGAAAATCGCCATTTTAGAATTGGGATTTAGGGGATATAACAAAAATCTAAAGACTCAAAACACAACTTGATTTTACACAAAATGCAAGATACATTACAGAAGAAAGTAAGCATTTCAAAATAAATTTCGAATAAGCCCTAAGCAAGTTTAAAACAATGGAAAATTAACTAACCTTAGGTTTATAAACTTGTGAATAATTTTTTCTCTCTTTTTCTTTGAATTTCCTTCAACAAAACTCGATTTTCTCTTCATCCCCATCGATTCACTTTCTTCAACCATGATTCGAGCCTATAATCAGCGGTGTCGGGTGGGTGGAGCCTTTAATGGGTGGATGAATCGCCTTCTTCTTTGAGTAAGTGAAGATGCTTCCTCTTTGCTAGGTGAATCGTGGGCTTTGGGGGGTGATTTGAAGTTTTTCTTTATAATCAATTGGTTTTGGGAGCTTTTGGAACGATTTTAGGGCGTATTAATTACTGCTATTAGATATTTTAATTTGTTTCAAGAGCAATAATCTAATTTATTCATTTTTAACAGTAGTGGGCCTAATTTCCTCTAAAATCTAGCCCATATAAAGCCAAGCCCAAGCCCACTTGACCATCAAGTAAATCTTTCTCTATTTCTCTTTGAGAGTTGAAAGGGATAGTGGTATCAACTGGGCCAACATGGCCACGGTCAATAATGAAAAAGGCTGAGGCCTGATTAGAGGTACTCAATTGGTTTGGGTTTCGTGGCAGCCCGGATCGAACCTGGCTTCCCTCATTTCTCCCAGATTCATTTCAAGGTGGGCTATAGGGGTGGTAAAAAAACTTGTATACCTGCGGGCCCGCTCAATCGGGTATTCAGGGCAAGTAATGTAACAAGGGCCCCATCCCGTTTAACATTTTTTTTTTTTTTAAGAATTCAATACTTTAAATGAAAAACTCCACAAAATTTCATTAGTTTTAATAGAAGATGAAAGCTAAGATTATTTAAAAAATATGACAAACAATAAACACCTTAATTTACTAAATATATTTGAATAATTTAACTTTTAAAAATAAATAAATTAATTAAAAAAATCAATAAAAATATTACTGTCTCACTTTAATGAATAAAGAGCAATAAAATGAAGTATCAAAAAAAAAAAAATTAAACAAGTAGTAAAAGGGATAGGGACCTTGCCCCGCCCGTAACCTGACTTGACCCATCTTAAACGGGTAATTGTACGGGTACGAAGCGAAAAATTACTCTACGGGGTGGGGGCGGGGGATTTAGTCCCAACCTTGACTTGTCCCATTGACATCCCTAACATAGGTGGGGATGTAAAATGGGTCGAGACACTAACTTTCACCTGGCACCACTAACAGCTCACTATTTATAAAATAAATAAAAGAAAAAAAAACTAGAAATTACACTTTTGTACAAAAAAATATTAGCAACTCGCTAGATGGTTCTCACGAGTGTTTTGCTACTCGATTTGCACCAGCAATTCATCTCGAGCGCAAGTTGAGACTGCTCAGCTCGCTAGACCCTAGTTACATATATTTATTAGTATTAATTATTTTCTCATATAACTTTTATTGATTCATTTATTATTGTTGACTTGTACGTGCCAGATCATTTGGACAGATAAGAAATAAGTTGAAATTCGAAACAACTCGATTTTATAGATGGTGGTGCTGACACCACTGAACGGAGTTTTCAAAAATCGGAATGACTCGATCGAGTTTGACACAACTAAGAAATTTTGAAAAATGCAATTTATTTTCAATAAATTCAAACGATATAAAACTTGGATTAAATTAACTCATGATTAAAAAAATGAAAAAGAAAATCTTTCCTTGACATAAACGTACCCAAAACTGGCGAATTCATAAAGTTTTCCTGTGCCTGAAAAAACTATAACGCCAACTTCTGCATCACACAAAACGGCCAATTCCTTGGCCTTCTTCAGCAATCCACCGCGCCGTTTCGTGAACGTTACCTGCCTGCTACTGGTGTTCTCAATCTTCTTAATCTCTACCTTTACTCTTCCCATTTTTTCACCCTTCAAAAGCAACTCAGTATACTGAGAAATGAAGAAATAATGTGGAGAACTGGAGTGGAGTGGGGGGTTATAAATATTGCAGATGCTTTTGACCTTTCAAGGTTTGGTGGAAATTTTTACTTACTGTGGCTTAGTATGTGTAGGAAACAACCTAAAAATGGTAATTGAAATTACTTATTTATGGAGGCTTACTAATAATAATATATTTGCAGAATTCGATGGGGATAATATTACTCTTTCTTGGGCTCAAAATGACGAAAAATGAAAAGAATGGAGAGGAAATATGGAAAGGTTGTAAATAGTTACTATATGAAGGAATACTTTATGAAGAAATCTTCCTTTATATGGTAACACCAATTTTCTTGTGGTTGTGGTGTAACCTTTCGAAAATCTCATGAGAAGAAGAAATTTATGCTTTCACATTAAAGTCTATTGGTTTTGGCCAATCGTGAGACGAGTTAAATGCCATTCGCCTTGTGATTTGCTTCAAATACGTTTTAAATACGTCACATTACGTATTATATCCAGAAAGGTTGTGATAAACACAATATTAATGCACCGTAAATACGTTCATTATACTTTTATTTAAGTAGTAAAAAAGTTTAGTAGATATACACCAAGAAAGGTTACACCTAACACAACAATAATGCCTTCAAGATATTTTAGGTACAAAACTTTTAATCCTTTTGTTATTAAATACTAGTATTTAGTCCCAAATATATAACAAATATGAAGTATGTCATCATAGGTGTTGGGGTGCATTTGACACATATAAAGTTGAGGGACCACTTGTAAATATGGAATTTTATCATTTTGGATAAATAACAGCAAAAGGCCCTAACCTTTCCAACCTTTTTTGGACAAGGATGTTCCTAGCCTTTGAAAAATTGACCGCATTAATTCAAATGGATGAATTACGTTCATTTTTTCAGTTAGTCAACCAAGTTGACATGTACATTTAAAATTAAAAGGGAAAAATTGTCGTTTCAATATTCTTAGATAAGAATTTAAAATTAAAAAAAATATGTAGACGAAAAAAAATAAATAAAAAAAAGGTCACATCTTCCTCCTTGGTTCGCCAACATCAATTACTGGAAACATTTTTCTCACGACGTTATCCTACTCCCAAGGAACAACCTTTTTTTTTACACTCTCTTAAGCTTCATTAACATCCCATTTTGATCCTCCTCAAGCTTCAAATTTCATCAACTCAGATTCCATTCTGCCTAGAACCAACAGCACCTTGGTAGCTTCAGGGCAACCAACAAAACAACCATCCCCTCCACCAAATGACCACCACCTAAGTATTTGTTGATTGAGTAGTTTTCTATTTTATTTGGTACAAATATTATTATTTTAGAACCCAGACTTGGAGGCATTTTGTAGTGAAAAAGAAAGTTTTTAACAAATTTGGAATTGGTTTGGAGCAATTGAAGACTAATTGAATTGCATATGATTGATAAGAATTACTAAGAGAGGAATTTGGGGAAAAATTTTAGTTTCAGGAATGAAATGTAACTTATCGAAAGTTTAGGAACCAATTTGTACATTTTCACAACTTGAAAATAACCAGATTTGAAGGACAAAAAAGGTTATTTTTTAAAATTATTTTCTGGAAATTTTGAATACTTTTCGAGGCATGACTCCCAAGACGCTTCTACCACTGTAAAACCTGTTCTTTAAAGGAAAAAAAAAAAAAAAAAGAAGGTTCAACCCCAATCTTGAGGGTCCTCATGGCCTCGTCCTTAGAGATTTGTGAAGGAGGTAAATTGCGGGATGTGCCTCAACAGATCGGGGAAGAAGAACTATCTGTACACTGTGCCTACAAAGAGTCCAATTTTATGTCTCAGAAATTGAACCCCCCACACTACGACTATCAATAAGGCGTGAGATAACCTCACTCCTATCTTTTGCACTTCCAGATCAAATTAAAGGGGGGTGGAAGGTTCAAAGATGGCTTTTCAGAGAGAATACAAGTAAAGAAAATCAAGAAACGGGTGTTTTTTAAGGTTTGGTGTAAAAGAAGGAGATTCTTGGTGTAAAATCATGATACTTTTTCTCATTATTCCTTTAAATTCTCCGATGTACTTAGACTCCTTGTAATATTCTTTCCCCATGATCTAAACGATTAGGTGATTTTAACATAATTTTGAACTTTAATTTCATTTATATTGTTTTTATCTTTGATTGACGTTTGTGGATTATTTTACTTGTATTATTCATGACTTTGAATTCCTTAATCAATAATTCATTAATTTGTGAATTGTATGTGCCAAGATATGAGTTATTTGTTTTACCATGTACTCAAAATCGAGATTTTGGTAGAAGGTAGAGATACATGCTTGTTCTAATTTTGAGATTGTTTATATATATATATATATATATATATATACACACACACACACTTTTACCTAGAACTGGTGGAATAGGAACGGAACCGTTTAGAACCGATCGATTCGATTCCAAATCTTCTAAAAAATAATTTGATTTCAAGACAAATTTTTAAGAATCAACTGATTCCAGTCCGGTTCTCGGTTCTAGTATGGGAACCGCGGGAACCAAACAATTCTCATTGAATTTGTTCTTTTTTTTCATTTTTTGGATAAAATATATGACTCAATCTCCAATACTTTTATAAAAAATAATCGGGTTCCTTCTTAATTTTAGACTCTATCACTTTCATTCTTCACTTTGATTCTTTCTTTTCTTTTATTATAATTCTTTGATTAATTGATTTTTAAGCCAAATTAGAATATTGGGTAAATCTATACCTAAATAAATGTATTTACAATATATAATTTCATCTATAAGATGTGAAATTTTTATTTTGTTTTCACTTTTTAAATCTATACCTAAACAGATCTTTGAATAGTATATTCGATTTTTCTATATTTTGTTAAAAGTATCACGTTGGTAGCATTTTTAGAGTTTTATTAATGAACATTTTATTTTGATATTTTTAATGTAAAGAACCGGATCGGACCGAATCGGAACCGATTGGTTCATTTCCGGTTTGGTTCTACACTTAGCTATGCAACCAATTGTTCAATTTCTAAAATTCTCATTGGTATTCGGTTCGGTTCGTTTCCTTTGAAATTGAACCAAACCGGACCGCTAGAGAGAGAGAGAGAGATGACTTAATTGAGTATGATTGATTTGAACTTGAGAGAGGTAATCGATTAATTTAAAAGAATTTGATTGACTGCGCATGATTGATTGTTTTAGGAATTTGATGGCTGAGATTAATTGAATAGCTAGGTAAATTGTGATTGTACATATAAATTGTATAATTACGCACTTCCAACGACCCCAATTTTTAACTGTTTTCATAAATGTATTGTATTTAAAATCGTAATTAAAATTACTTTTAATTGTTTTCACTCGAGTAGAAGTTAGGCATAATTAAATCAATAGTTAAATAGATAATTCTTGTGAATATGATTATTCGACTTTTTGTCCACTTTACTACTTGTTAATCGATATCGTACTCTTAAAATATAAAACACACCACCTCAACTAATTGAATTCAGGTAAAAATATGTTTGTTTATAATTGATTTAAATTATAACTAGATATATTTAAGTGTGGGTAATATTTATGAGTTTCAAGAAATGTATAGAATGAAAGTCATTTAATCAATTATAAACAAATTATAAATCGTAGCTAAATCATGTCAAACAATGCACAATTACCAAATCGATTTAATTCAAAACAATGAGGAATCTAAATCATATTTAACATGCATATCCAAATTTGAAATCTCAAACTGGAAGCCGACCATTGTAGTTCACAACTTTTATACTATTTTAACTTGATTATTTGCTAGATCTACGAGTGTTGAACAGTTTTAATGTGTTTATTAGTGTTGTTTTATAAGTTGGCGAGGTAGTATAAATTACTGCAAAAGTGAAGAAAATAGGGCAATTAGCATAAACAAATGAGAAAAGGGTAACAAAATGGTAAAAGAGTCAATTTCCTATATCAAAAGACGGAAAAAATGCGGCATATGACCTATAGGGGTGCCTAGGTGCCACAAGAAGAAGAAACCAAAATAGGGAAATGGCAGTGCCTCGGCGCCACCATGAAAAACAGAAAACAGAGGTTGACGCAGCGGTGCCACACTCCTGACATCGAGGCGCCATCCATAAATTGACATGGCGCTGCTCCTATGGTGGTGAGGCGCTGCCTGAAGCTCTAGGGATCCTTTTTTATCCTACTTTGAAGCCTAAGAAACTCTACATTCGGCACAATCATGGAGAAAAGCATAAATAAAAGAATGGAGGCACCTTTGAGGGTTTCCACAGATTGAGATAGAAAGATCACAATTAGGATTGGGCAAATCTCCCGAATCGAACTCGAATCGAATTGAACCGAACCCGACGGTTCTTGTCAAATTAAATACCTGAACGAGTATCTGAATTGAGAACCGACGGGTACGGTTCGGTTCTCAGTTCTAGACCAAGAACAGAATAAGAACCGAATATTTTTAATTTTTTTTTTATATTGAGTAAATCAAATTATTTTAATTTTAATTTTTTCTAAACAAATTAATAATTTCTAAATCCAAATTTTTGGCCCAATAATTTGTTTCATTTCTAATTTTTTAATTTTTGGCCCCATTACCAATTTTATTGTTTCATTTCTTAGCCCAACAAGATCCAATCCACTAAATAACTCTAAACACCTACACTAAAGTGCATAACGTTGTCTCGACTCTCGCACTCACGCTCGCAGCCTCGCTGACATTTCAAAACCTATACAATCGTCGGTCGATGCTGTGACTTCCGATTGAAGTTGCGACCTCCGCCGACCGAAACTTTGACCGTAGCGATCATTTGAACAAGGTAGTCTACTAGTGTATGACATTCCAAAACCATTGAATGTATCATTAGTTGTATTTATATAATGTTGTTATAAATGTTAAAAAATTTAATTATAGTATAGAACCGAACCGAACCAAACTGAACCGAACGGAACCGAACCCGAACGGTTCAATAATTATATTTGGACCCGACGGTTCTATTTACTAGATACCTAAAAATTTTGGTTCGGTTCGATTCTAAAGAGAGCCGAACCGAATCGACCCGCGCTCACCCCTAATCACAACTTGATATTGAGGAGAGCGAATTAAAGGAGGGGAAAAAATAAAGAAATCAAGGATTTAATGCATTGATTAGAAGAAAAAAGAAAATCATGGTGCAAGAATCATCCATTTTTCTACACCTCTCTTTAAAATCCAATGATATACTCAATACAAATCTTTTATTTTTCTTCTTATATTTTGAGTAGCTAAGTCATATATTAAGGTGAACAATGTAATCAATTTGAGACTCTTTATATCTTTTATTCAAGATTCAAGTTCTTTAAAAGTTTATGTGTTTATTTTATTCATGTATTTAACGCTTAGAATTACTTGATCATTAATTCAATGAATTTGCGAATCTTTTACGAATCGAGAGATTAGTTTTAGATTTAGAGCACATAGTAAAATCTAGTAATTTAGCATAACATGTGGAGATACCAATTCTAATTACTGCGATTGTTATATGAATTCTTAGAACATATAGTACGTTTAACTAAGATTGATTTACATGGAAATATGTGATTAAATTAGTTAAATAAGTTCAATTAGAATTCAAGAGGAGTTAATTGAATACAATAAAAGAAACGAATAGAACACTACATTAGATTTGTAAATCTTAAATTAAGACTTAAAAGTGATCAATAAATGAAATTGTTATGCCCTAATATCTATTCCATATTTGAAACATTAATTTGATCTTTATGTGTAATTTTGATACTTTCAATTAGTTAGAAATAGTTAGATCAAAATCACCAAATCACAATGATTTGTTTTCATCATATAGGAGTTAAAAGAATTTAATTAAGTATTAAAGTGTAGTCCTCGTGGAAATGATGATCTAGAGTCAAAGGTCCACTATATTATTTGTTACAATCTCTATACTTGTGATAGAAAAATCCAACAAGTTTTTAACGTCATTGCCAATGACTATTTACATTTAGTCTTAATTTACTTTTTTTCTTGACTATTATTTGATTAATTTATTATTTATAGATAAAATGTTTTCGTTGTATTCTCCCTTCTGAAGACGACGATCTAGAATCGTTTTATCAGAAGATAGAACGTACTTTCAACACAGATTCAACGAACAACAAAAATAGAAATATCTGATGGCTAACAAACAAAACATTTAGGATCCATTTGATTGTAAAAATGAAATTAGGGTGGAAAGAAAACGAATTTTGGGAAATTGAATTGCTTAGAAATTGTTTTATTGAGAATTGTCGATTATTGTGTTTGATCGGTATAATTTTTCACTTGAAAAATGTTGAAATAAAAGTGTCTTTTCGTATTCGTTTGACTTTATTTTCATGAAAATTGTCAATTTAAGGGACTTCCACCACTATCAAAATTTCAGGTGGATTCCTTTGCCACATACATTCAATATTCTTATCAAAAAGAGCGATACCGTAAAAGATATCTAGAATTTATGAATTAGACAACACAGCATCTAAATAGCTCCTTTGACCAAACAATTAGAATTATTTGCGAAACCACAAACACCTAGAGCACGTGCAATGACGGCCAGTCTATCATTCTATTTAAATTTGCCGAAGGTGTACATTCATAACCCATTTAGGGGGTTAATTGAAGATGTTCATCATTTACATGATAGCAAACAAAAACAGAATTGAAAAAACAAGGCTATCAAAATAAATAAATAAAATAAAAATAAGAAAGGTAAACGGGTGAATATGGATAGTACACACCTTAAATAACTATAACGATCAATACGATATTTTATAACGAAAGCGGTAATAATCAATAAGTTGGTAGTAAAAAAGAAATAATTTAAATAGTGCAATTTTTTTAAAAAAAAAATTATTCTTGACCTGGATTTTGAGTTATATAATTGCGTTTAGATTGATTATTGAATGAATTAGTGAAACTATGACAAATGATAAATGGATCTTCTTTCCATTATTCTTTTGTCCTTTTCTGGCCTATTAATGATCAAACTGATTTTCCAATGAAAAAATAGCGATGACTTCGATCACTTTTTCGATCGAGTTTGTCGCATAGAGTTTTGCTTAGTTCAATTTACCTAACTAGCGTGATTTACAGGTTATTGCGTCAGCCAGAGTATTTATCCAGTGCGCTCCAAAAGGTAGCGATTGCAGATTTCTCCGTCACCACAAAAAAAAATTAATAATAAAAAAAATAGTGATGACTTTGATTACAATTACTTTCTTGGTCACATTTTCTTCTTGAATTTCAATACAAAATATCCATACTTCTTGATTCTTTAATAAAACTTCAATTCAATGCAAGGTTCAAGTTATAATTTAAACCATGTTTGGTACCCATTTTTGTAAGCATGAGAATAAAAATATAGTCATTACAGGACTCACACAAGAAATAAAGAGTCAAATATGATGACTTGATGTGATGAATAACAATCATATTTTTCATTTTTATTATCAAAGAATGAGAATCAAACGAGAGCTTTACTTATTTTAGATTTTCATCTTAGAAGGTGGCACCAATGATTTCCATTTAAATTTGGAGCTAAAACGTTGTAATTTCCACGCCTAATTGCTTTCTATAAAAGTTAAAAAATCTAAAATTTCTGGGCTGTAATTATTATTGTGAAAAATAAATTTTATAACAAATCCCAAAATTACTGGCAGACACATATCTCGTAGTTGAACCCCGAGCCGAACCCAATGAAATCGACGATAAATATTAGGTAGGCGCGGAAAACTGAACGGTTTAGATCAACCTATTTGCAGTCCCCACTAATTGAATTCAAATTAGTAGAAGTAACGGCACGATTCCGGAGCCTTTGCCTCGGATCCGATTCTCATTTTCTCCACTGGTAAAGGTAAATGTCTTATTAATTAACAGAGAAGCCACTGTATTATTGTTCCATCATCTTAACTGAAAAAAGATTCCGATTAATTGGAAAACCATTTTGCCTTTTTTCACTCTCTCAAAATTTTAGGGTTTTGTTTTGTTTCTTCAGTGAAGCTTATGTCAAGAAAGATTTTCCAAAGTATGTTCTCGGTTTTGGTTATAATAAATATATGCTGTTTTTACGTGCTTTCGATTAAATTTGAGAGAAAAAGGATTAATGGGTTTCGAATATATTTTTTTTTTCTTGATTATAGATTACTAAAGATTTGAGTTTTAATGGAGGATCCAACAAGACAAGTGGGAGTGCATGAGTTGAACTTGGCTTCAAGAAAAGCTGAAGACGCAGGTTATTTTTTTATTCTACATTTTTTTTTCTTGGTGACGTTATTTATGGTAATCTCATTTCATCTCTCTTATACTGAATTCATAAACCAAGTTATTTTCAATAATGCTTTTTTTCTTTTTCCCGTGAATTCTGTGTTCTTAAAATTTATTTCATTAATTTTATTTACTTCAAAACAGAAGAGAGTATAATTGTAGTTTCTTTACTCTTTTGGTAGAAGAGTTAGGTTTTTTTATAAAATTTTTGATTACTTATTAATATTCAGATCTAATTTGAGCAAAGTTTGTATGTTTTATTTCTCTTTTGGAATTTAGAAGTTGTGTTTTTATAATCCATGCTTTATTCTAATTCTCTTGAGCATATTTGAGTACGTTAATGGAGGTGCGTCTTTCCCTTTATATTTATAATCCTTTTAATGGCTCTCCGACTTCTGAAAATTGATTATTATTATTATTATTATTATTTTAATTTTAATTTTTCTTTTTTTACTGAATTTGCAGCTCTGCGAAGGCATCAAGCTGCCTATTGGCTAGATTGCGTGGTGGGACCATTTGGAATATCTAGCCGCCCCTCGGAGAGAGAGTTCATTTCTTGCTTGAGAAATGGTTTAATCCTTTGCAATCTAATTAACAAGATTCAACCAGGTTCAGTTCCAAAGGTAATTTTTTACTTGTTGGGTACTTGAATGTGTACACATGAATGCTTGTTTAAGAAAGTTAAATACTGTAGGATTTGTTTATCTTGACTTCTGATTCTTTTGCATTACAAAATCGTAATTAGGTGGTGGACAGTAACTCACCTTCACAGTCTCTCCAGTGGGATTCGCAGCCATTAACAGCATATCAATATTTTGAGAATATTAGGAACTTTTTAGTAGCCGTGGAAGAACTAAAACTACCTGTTTTTGAAGCTTCTGTTTTTGAAAGGGTAAAATTTCAATGCCTTTTTTTTTGCTGCAATCACTTAATAAGTACACGAGTGCGAATTTATAAGCAGGCATACCTAATATCTTCACAGGAGAATTTGGAAGAGGGGTCATCGAAGGTAGCTGATTGCATTTTGGCTCTTAAGGCATTTCATGAGTGGAAGCAAATGACTGGTGGGAATGGAACTTACAAGCCACCCAGATCTCCTTTGATTACACATTCTGCTGGCAGGATTCATGCACGAACATCAGGAATGGTTACTTTTAATAGTTCTAGGCAACTAGATATGTCAGCAGGCTTGGATAAACCACTATCAACAGATGGTGAAATCCAAAAATTTGAAGGTAGTTTTATTATTTCATATTAAGAAGATCTACTTGTGTGATGTACATGCATGATTGAGAGCTATAATTGCAAATTTAATTCAAAGTGGTCATTTGAAAGAGTACTATAGGAGACAATCATTCTGCATTAACGAGGAATAGTATAGGCTGTAATAGTAATAGTAATATTTAGCATTGTTAAAACCATATTTATTTTGGTTGATTGTGTTTTATTGCTTTGGTGAACTATAATTTTGTTTTGGTGAAGGATAATTTGTCCGTCCTCATATTTCTAATGCTACTTTGTAGTCCTCATATTTCTAATGTTACTCCATCACAAAAGGGGTATGCCATTGGAAATTTCCCAGACCAATTTCATTTTCCAAGTAATAGGAGCATTTACCTCGAGCATCTTCTTAGCCGATAATCATCTTCAGTTAGAACTGTAAAGTGTATGCTTTTTGTTTATAACTTTTTGTAGTTTTAACTGGTAGTAAAAATTGGTAGTTCTTTGTTCACATGTTTTCTAATTTCTGGTGGATTAAAATTCATTTGGTTATGCAGATGTAATATTCAAGGCTCTTGCTGAACATATGGTAGATTCAAAGGAGAACATGGACAGTAATATACTTGCTTCCTTTCATAGTGGAAATGTGGTAATATTGAGTTTGATAGTTATTTTATGGGTTTATCAATTGGAACTCCAGAAATAATTGTCCTTACATTTTTATCGATTAACAGGATTCAGTCAAATTATTGACCAACATCTTCTCCAGTTGCTTGGAGGAAAAGTTTCAAAGAAAATTGCCTGAGGTAAGTTGGTTATTTAACAAAAACTGTTGCATTCTTTAATTCTCAAAATGCAGTTTCTAGAATACGCGAAATTTTCAAATCTTACTGTGGATTTTGAGAGAGCTTATCTCCAAAGTAACTAGATAAAATGTAAAAATGGGGGATATTCTGGAAGGATGCTTCCAGTTATTCTCAATAACGGCAGAGGCACGTCAGATTCGTGATTGTTAGTCCACAATTCCTAAGATTCATGCTGAGTTTTAACAGTTAGATAATACAACCGGACAAGGTTGCATTTGACAGGATAAGAACGTGCAACCGGAATTTCTTGATTCCTTTTTTAACAGTGAATTTAATCCAATTTGGTCGAGACAAAGCTTTCAAGAAATGAATAATTCATTTTACTTTTGTATCGCATTCTCTAAAATGCTGCATTCATGATGATTACACTTCAATGTTTTTTCAACAGCTGGTATATAACCAATTGATTTGGAAATAAATTTTTGAAAGATTTTTGTGCTCTAGTGAGATGAGATTGATGAAAATATTATTGATGTATCTTCAACCAGTTAAAACGGGGTCCATTGGATCATTTAAGAGAGACAAATTGCTCACCAGTGCATTCCACATTGTGCCTCTTGCAAAAGTGTCAAATCTTGAGGCAATTTATTCTTAATTTGTACACATGCTTTAGTGAGATGAGATATTCTCAATTTATTCTTAATTTGTACATATTCTTAATTTACTCTCACTTTGTTGGAGTCCATATACTTCTTAGAATTAATCTCAAGAACTATTGCAAATCCTTATCTGGTCAACTTCTTTTATTTGTCAAAATTGTTGATGCTCACTCTCAATATGCGGACTATTAACTACGAAATCATGGGGGTGGGATTTTCAGTTATACCAGCATTAATTTAAAAGGTTAAGTTACTGTGGACAAGGTCGAAGGCCATGCTCTCTATCCCATCAAAAAAAGAAAAATAATCCATGCTCTCTATCCCATCAAAAAAAGAAAAATAATCTTTCAAGGAGGTAATGGCTTTTCCATACATCTAGAGCAACGGCACAGGATCCTCTCAATTGCCTTATTCTGTTTGAAGTCTCTTACTGCCAACTTGCATGGATAATGCATAAAAGTGATGATTTTTTAATAGAAGTTAGATAAATCATATTATGGTGAACATAGGTGCATTCCATAAAAAATTGAACTTGATTTATATAATATACTATTCCAGTTCAATATGAACTTTGATGAATTATTTGATCCACAGTGTTGGAGGGCCGGCATGAACGGTAAGTGCAATCATCGGAATCTAGTTCGGCAGCAAGAAAGGGAACTTCTGGTAACCATCTTGTGCCTTTGTGTTAAGAGTTTTGATAATAGATTTTCTATCATGAAAAATGTGACAATATATGATTCTTTGAAAAATCCTTCTTTTTCTAGTGTCTTATCTAATAAGACAATTTTTTGTGTGCCTCCTTGGGGCATACATACATATCTTACTGTTTTCTGCACATGAAGATGAATGTAGAATTGACAATAATAGTTTTATTGCTTGCAGAATCTTAAGATGCTCCTATCAAGTACGAAGAAAGAGTTTGGAAGTCTGCAAACTCGTTTTCAAAGTGATTTGAAACAAATTGGTATGGTTTATGCTAAGGGACCTTAATCCCTAGCCCAATGTCAATCCCCATAAGTTAAATGAATCGTGTCTATAACATGAGTTATAAGCTGTCAGTATGGTTAGACTGTCATATGTTAGATGCTCTTTACATTTTAAAGAATTCTGTAGTCAAAATATCTTCCTGCGAATGACTTTTTCCTTCAAGAGAAGAATATCTCTCAGAAAAGAAGATAAAACATCTGCCTTGTTTGATCGATCGTTGAGGAAAAGCCACATATAGCATGTTCATATGATATAACATCTTTTACTTTCTCAAATTTAATAATTGGAAGGAGCAAATTGTTCTCTAATGAACTTTAACATGATAACCATGAAACTGACTGAACTTTGTACAATAACAAAAGAAATACTTTGCTTTGCATGATTTCAGGAGATCAAGTGCAGGAGATGTCTACTGCTGCTCTTGGATATCATAAAGTTGTAGAAGAGAACAGGAATTTGTACAACATGGTTCAAGATCTAAAGGGTTAGACTGAATGTTTTTCATTGTTTTCTTATTAGAATTCATAATATGTTTGTTTCAGAGTAGTTATAAGTAACATCTTTATAAATTTTTCAATATTTTATTTAGTGATGAGATACAACATAAACCGTCCGAAGAAATGCAATTGTGGGTGCTAGAGAGAAAAATAACCTTTATTATCTTATATGAACATGTATTGAGTATATATGAACATCATTAAGGATATGGAGCAATGACGAGTGTAGATGCAATGGCCATAGTTTTCGATCAGATACAATGTAGGTCTATCTAAGAAATTAAATGAAATGAAGATCCAGATCCTTCATACATAAAATATTTTTCCATAATTTCTATTCTTTGCATCACTAATCTATTTAGTTTAACTATTCTATAATTTTAAATTTTTTTATCAGGAAATATTCGAGTTTACTGCAGAATTAGACCCATCTTCAATGCTGGGGCAAAAAATGTGATAGATTATATCAGAGATGATGGATCTCTAGTGGTTGTAGACCATCTGAAACCACAAAAAGACAAAAGGAAGATTTTTCAATTCAATCACGTGTTTGGTCCTACTGCCACTCAATGTAATTAATTGATACCGTCTTCCATGTTAGAAAATCCTGGTCTTAGATTTTCATTTTGGATGAATCTATTTAATTTTTTAGGTGATGTATTTAAAGAAACTCGGCCACTTGTTAGATCTGTAATGGATGGTTACAACGTCTGCATTTTCGCTTATGGTCAAACTGGATCTGGGAAAACATATACTATGGTGAGTTTCTTTCTCATAGCAAACTGCACATGCTCAGTTTTTCCCTACTATAGAGGCATTTCTTGTTTGGTTTATGAATTTACTCTAAATTTATGTAGAAGAGCTAGTTTGATGTGAAGTGTGGTAAAATTAATTATTTGGAGGTATGTTCAGTAATCCGTTCTCTCTGTTAAAAGTGTGGTCCTGCAGGTGTATTGGCTAATGAATTGGGGATTAATTATTTGGCCGTTAATGATCTTTTTCAACTTACTGATGAAAGAAAGGACATAGTAGAATATAGAATTCAAGTCCAGATGGTCGAGATATATAACGAACAAGTTCGTGATCTTCTTGCTGAAGATTTGTCAGATACAAAATATCCTTTATATTTTGAATATCTGTATTCTACTTTATATTGTTTGTAGTTCATTTATATTAAAAAAAAAAGAACAAACAAATTTATTTTATGCAACTTAATATACATATATCCAAAGTGTTGATTTCTTAATTGCCAATAAATTAGAGATCCGTAGTTGTGCAAGTGATGACGGTTTGGTTCTTCCTAATGCTACTATGTGTCCTGTAAAGTCAACTACGGATGTCATCAACCTGATGAAACTCGGGGAAGGGAATCGTGTAGTTGGTTCCACTGCCATTAACAATCGAAGCAGTCGTTCACACAGGTCAATTTTTCTTCTACTTTATGTGCATATTCCGCATGCAGTACTAGAAATTATAATGAATAAAATTTTAGCTTATTTTCCTTTTCTAATATTATTCAGTACTTTTTATTCCTCCCTACAAAACATATCATATAGTTATTCATTGTTGTCCTCTCACACATTGACTGATAAAACACGGATTTTGCAGTGTGTTGACTGTACATGTACATGGCAAAGATGTATCTGGAAGCATACTTCGAAGTTGCCTCCATTTGGTGGATCTTGCAGGTAGCGAACGAGTTGATAAATCAGAAGTTACTGGTGATGGACTCAAAGAAGCGCAGCATATAAATAAGTCGCTTGCTTGTTTAGGAGATGTTATTGCAGCCTTGGCACAGAAGAACTCCCATATTCCTTACAGAAACAGCAAACTAACGTTACTTCTGCAGAATGCTTTAGGTAGTTTATAAAACTAATTCAACTCAACCTTTTCAGTCCCATATAATAGTTTCCTAGCTACTACACAAGTCATACTGGCGCCGATGATACATAAACACTTGATCATTATGCAATCCCCCCTTTATTTTCCGTACATTGTGATTACTGTAAGCTTATAAGGGGTACTTTTGGAACGCAGTATAAGGTAGCACGGGTAATACATTGAACAATATTTAATTTAATTTTTTTATTTTTTGGTTAATACTGTCTTCTAGTGTCTTTTTACTTTATCAAATGTGGCGTAAGTTATATTATATGAGTTAAAATGAAGTGGCAAGTGCAGGAGGATTGCACCAGGGAGAAGATGGTTCTTCACAAAATATATTTACATGTATGATATGTTCTGATTCTTGTTCTAATATGGAGCAGGAGGAAATGCAAAAACATTGATGTTCGCTCATGTGAGTCCAGATGGAGATTCTTTAGGAGAAACAATGAGTACTTTGAAATTTGCTCAGAGAGTGGCGACTGTTGAACTTGGTACAGCTCGTGTAAATAAAGAGAGTGCTGAGGTGCTAGAGCTTAAAGCACAGGTAAACTGGGACTTTTAATTTGAGAGGTTTAATTTGAAGTTAGGATAATATTTAAGCACACTATCATTGATTTGCTTAAACTTCTACAGATTGAGAATCTCAAAAAGGCACTGGCCAACAAGGAAACTGGGATTCCTCTGGTTAACTACTCAAAGGAGCCAGCAAGAACACCATGCGAGAAACCTAAACAAATGTCTGAGAGAACACCTGTTCGTCCAAGAAGGTTAAGTATTGAAAGCACTAACAACTTACCGCTACAGAAAGAGAATTATGACGACACAAGGGGATCCAAAACCCCTTTGGCGAAAATGCGTTCTCGAAGATCAAGTTTGGAAGGACCAAGGTACACAAAACAGGATTCTGAGCAGATTAAATTATCAGAAGTTGTAAGCAAGCTCCAGAAGCCAGAAACATGCTTACAAAAGCAAAGTCCAACCCAAGAACATAAATATAGTGGTGGATCTTTGGTGAACTCGACCAATCATAGGACTCCTAGGAGTCCAACAAGTTCTGCTTTCAAAGGTCAAGTGGTAAAAATCGTTGATACTACAATGAAGGCTCCATCTTTTCAAAATCCCAAAACACCCAAGCCAGAAGAGGTAATCAAGTTTGTGAAGCCAGAAGTAACATGCTTACAAAACAATAGTTACACACAAGAATATAAATATGGTGGATCTTTGATAGACTCAACACATCATAGGGCTCCTAGGAGTCCAACAAGTTCTGCTTTCAAAAGTCAATTGGTAAAAGTCGTCGATACTGCAATGAAGGATCCATCCTTACAAAATCTCAAAACACCGGAGCCACATGTGAGATCAAAGACTGGGGTCCAGAGATTGCAGCAAAATGAGATTTCCATCTATTCTGAAATCCAGACACCTTGCTCAACTAATATCACTCATGGAAAGGGATCTCAGATAAGGAAATCACTGCGGTCTATTGGCAAATTAATTAATGGGTCAGAGAAGAGGTATGCTATTGTATTGTACTGTGTAATCGTAAGTTGTTCTAAGTCTACTGTTCAACGTTGCACCAATTTTTGTCATTGCAAAATGTGATTGATTGAATAGTATCCTCAAGATGTTTAATGCAAAACACAGGAACCAACAGAAACCGACTGAAGCACTAACACCTTTCAATGGAAATAGCACCATGCATGATATGAAGTCACCCATACATTCCAATGCAAGGGCCCTCAGGAGACAGTCACTTACTGGCGTTCAACCATCCAGGAGATCTTCACTTGGAGGTGTTTTAACTGACTCTTGTAAGTGAAGTCATTTTCGACTTAGACTCAAAAATTTTATATATAATGTAACATGCGGTTAACACGAGAATTCATTCTTCTGCAGATGGAAATGAAAGTAGGAATGTAAAAACACCGCCTCCAGTTCGTGCTTCAGCAAAGTTAACAAAACGGTGGGTTTAGCCCATTTTAAGCTAGCTGAAAGGAGCTAACTTCTAGTTTTAGGACTCAATTTTGGAAAGTTCAAGAAAAGCCAATCTAGAAACTATTAAGTAGTCATTTGTACATACATCCGAGGGGAAAATGGATTCCTAGTCATATCTGGTTGGTTATTTCCAGATCAATAAATGACATGTTCTATCACAAATGTATGTTAATTCATACGAAAAATATTAATCAATGCCTTGTAGTTTTCATTGTTATGTGTTCATTTTTGACATGCTTTTGTCTAATCTGCTTACCAGATGAACTTTGTATTATTTCTTCAAATTTGTAGCGCCGCATATTGATATTGCCTTTTTTGAGTTCCACACGAGCATTATGGACGAGAGTAATTTATTTGTTCTATGGGAAAAATTAGGATGAGAAATGTGAATTTGTTCCTTCTTGGGATAGGAATAATCATTTGTTCTACAGAAAATCATGAAAATTCAAATAAAAGGGGGTGGGTAGGGGACATGTGAATGCTGAAATGCACTGTTTAATGCAGCATGTTGTCGATATGATTTGCTCAAAGCGCTTTCCTATTGAAGGAATTTGCTAGGTTAGCTTGGATTTGACTCGAGGCCCCTTAATAGTGGTCTGAGTCTAACCATAGGATATGTTCTAAGAAAACAATATCATGACATGACATGAAAGTGATTTCTCTTTATGGCAGTACTATCCTAATCAAAAGAGGTCTCCTATTGAAGGAATTAGTCAGGTTAGCTTGGATTTGGCTTGAGGCTCCTTCAATAGTGGCTTGAGTCCGACTATAGGATATGTTATATGAAAATATCATCATTACATGACATGAAAAGTAATTTCTCTTGATGGTAATACTATCCTAATTAGTCAATTAGGATAATGATGAGATTGTACAAAGTTCAAGCCTAAAGCTTAGATATCATCATGACTCCATCACAATCAAATTCTCCAATCAATCAAATCTCTTCAAATGGGTGGTGGCATTGTTGAGTGGGTCCAGCCCACTGCAGCCCATTAAAACCCACTTAAGCTGAATCTACTAAATTATTTTTAATTAGGTAAAAAACGTAGCTGAGAGGAATTGTTGGATATATATATATATATATATATATATATATATATATATATATATATATATACAATTCTGTGGCTTCCAAATTGTAAGAGAGAAAGATAAAGGCTTTTAATTGTATATATATATATATATATATACAATTCTGTGGCTTCCAAATTGTAAGAGAGAAAGATAAAGGCTTTTAATTGTGAGAGAGAAAAACAAAAGGCTACCATTAGAAAAGTCAATAAAGGCGGCTACAATTGAAGAAGAGAAAAATTGTCGCTGTGCATGAAGAAGAGGAAAATTTGAGGTTCCTGGGAAGAAATAAAATAATTGGAAGGGAAGCTATTCTTTCAATTTGGGTGTGGATTTTCACAAGTTATTTTTCTTCTCTATATAATACAAATTGGGATTTTCTCTAAATTGTATTTTTGATACTTCATATGTGTAGTATTCAAAGTGGATTTTCACAAGGTTAATCAATTTGGTGATTTGTGGTGAGATAAATTGTTATTTTAGAGATTGATTATTGTGGTAATTCCAATTTGTGGAGAATTCAAGTTTTTGAGCTTAAACTTGAATATTGTAATCTATATATTAATTATTATAGTGGATTTTGGCCGGAGTTGCCCGGTGATTTTTTCCTCTACACCGGAGGGTTTTTTCTACGTAAAAATTTGATGTTGCATTTTCTTATTTTTGCTTTGATTATTTATTTGCATATTTAATTGTTCTAGTTAATTGCTTGGATTGGTAAAATTATTTTTGAAATAATTAAAATTGCCCAACAAAGTGGTATCAGAGCTCAGGTTGTGTGGGTGTAATTTTATTAAGGAATAAATGGAGAATACTTCTGGCATTATGATTAAACTGTCGGCTTCAAATTATTCTATTTGGAAACCTATAATGGAGGATATCATGTATTGTAAAGATTTACATGAACCTATTGAAGGTGATAGTGCTAAACCAAGCAATGTGAGTGACGGTGATTGGAACAGGAAAGCCATTAGATATATTAGACAGTGGGTTGACATTGATGTATTCCATCATATATCTTAAGAGACAAATGCACATAGTCTTTGGGAAAATTTTGAGAGTCTCTATAAAAGAATGACCGCTCAAAATAAAGCATTTGCTATTAGAAAGCTCATGAATCTGAAGCTAAAGGAGGGGAAATCAGTTGCTGAGCATTTGAGTGAATTCCAAGACTTGATAAATCAATTGATCACAATGAAAATAATGCTAGATGATGAGAAGTAAGCATTATTACTTTTGAGTTCATTGCCTGATAGTTGGAAGAAGTTGGTGGTATCACTTAGTAACTCTGCTCCGAATGATGTGCTTAAACTTAATCTAGTTAAAGACAGTTTATTTAATGAAGAAATAAGAAGGAAATATTTGGGTAAGAATGATGCACAGACTCTTATTACATAGAACAGAGGTAGGAGTAAAAGCAGAGGTTCTAAGGAACTTGGTAACTTCAAAAGTCAGTCAAAAACAAGAGGAAAGGTCAAATGCTTTTATTGTGATAAAGAGGGTCATATAAAGAAGCATTGCATGGCTTGGAAGAATAAATTGAAAGAGGAGAAAAATCAGAAAAAGACTAATCAAAATACAGCAGCTAGCGCTTTAGAAGAAGTAGTAGTGGCAATTTTTCCGCTGAAGATGAGCAATGTTGTCATGTTGCAGATTCATTTATTGAATGGGTTATTGACTCAGTAGCTTCTTACCATGTTACTCCAAGTCGGGAGTTCTTCACTTCATACAAATCAGATAACTTTGGCACGGTGAAAATGGGTAATGACAGTTTTGCCAGTATTGCGGGAATTGGTGATATCTGTCTTCAGACAAATATTGGATGTAGCTTGACATTGAAGAACGTGCGACATGTTCCTGACATGCGCCTAAATTTGTTATCTACACATGCCTTTGATAAAGTAGGGTATGACAGTTATTTTGGCAGTGGAAAATGAAAATTGACAAAAGGGTCGATGGTATTCGCTAGAGGAAGGTTTGTTGCACACTTTATAAGACATAAGTAAAAGTGTGTAGTGAAACGGTAAATGCAACTGAAAGTGACTTTTCACTAGATTTGTGGTATAAGCGGTTAGCTCACATGAGCGAGAAAGGATTACAGATTTTGGCAAAGAAGTCTCTCATTCCTTTTACAAAAGGTACATCTTGAAACTCTTGTTATTATTGTTTATTTGGTAAACAACATAGAGTATCCTTTCAAAAATCATTTAGTAGAAAATCTAATATTTTAGATTTGATTTATTCTATGTGTGTGGTCCCATTGAGGTGGAGTCCATAGGTGGTAATAAATATTTTCTTATTTTTATTGATGATATTTCATGAAAGTTGTGGATGTTCTTTTTGAGATCAAAAGACCAGATTTTATCAGTACTTCAAAGAGTTTCATGCCCAAAAAGAACAAGAAAGTGGAAAGCTTTTAAAATGTCTCCAAACTGATAACGGAGGGGAATATACATCTAAAGTGCTTAAAGATTATTGCTCAGAACACAATATTAGACATGAAAAGACAGTTCCTAGTACCCCACAGCACAACGATTTTGTAGAGAGAATGAACCGTTCCATTGTAGAAAAGGTCAGAAGTATGTTAAGGATGGCTGGGTTACCTAAGTCATTCTGGGGTGAAGTAGTTTGAACAGCGTGCTACCTAATCAATCGGTCTCCATCAACTCCTATGGATTTTGAGATTCCAGAAAAATTGAAAAAAGGAAAAGATATTTCTTATTCTCACTTGAAGGTTTTTTGGTGCAAAGTATTTGCACATGTGATGTGGCTAAGGAACAACGGTTGAAGTTAGATAGTAAAGCTAGTCCTTACATTTTTGTTGGCTACGGAGATGCAGAATTTGGATATAGATTATGGGATCTAGAAAAGAAGAAAGTATTCAAAAGAAGAGATTTAATTTTTTATGAAAATCAAAAGTTGGCAGTGTTGAAAAATCTGGGAATCAAAGACATGTTATTGAGGATGTCACGGACTTATACCTGTCTCTTTGCCTTCAGATAGTTCCACTCAGGGGGGAGAGACACACGTCGACAATCATACTGATGAGCCAGTAAGGGTTGACGATGATGATTTAGAGGATGTTGAGCAGGGGGAGCAGTCTACTATATTAGATGCTCAGATTAGAAGATCTACCAGGGAACATCGTCAATCAACTAGGTATCCAGTATCAGATTATGTGTTGGTAACTGATGAAGGAGAGCTAGAATGTTTTCAAGAGGTAGAATCTCATAAAGACAAACAAAGCTGCGTAAAGGTTATACAGAAAGAAATGAATTTTTTGCAGAAGAATAACAATTATGAGCTAGCAGAGCTTCCTGAAGGTAAAAAAACATTGAAAAATAATTGGGTATTTTCAAGCTGAAGAAAGATGGTGAAAAGCTAGTGAAGTATGAAACTCGATTGGTGGAAAAAGGCTTCGATCAGAAGAAAGTGATTGACTTTGATGAGATATTCTCTCACGTCGTCAAAATGTCTTCTATTCAAGTAGTTTTGGATTTAGTGACTAGTTTGGATCTTGTGCTTGAGCAGTTAGATGTTAGTATCGCCTTTCTCCATGGTGATTTGGAGAAAGAAATCTACATGGTTCAGTCAGAGAGATTTGAAGTAAGAGGAAAAGAGTATATAGTTTGCAAGTTGTAAAAGAGTTTGTATGGGTTGAAACAGGCTCTAAGACAGTGGTATAAGAAATTTGATTCCTTTATGGTGGTTCATGGTTATAACAGGACAGATGCAGATCATTGTATTTATATTGGTGAATTTCATGGTAGTAACTTCATTATCATTTTACTATATATAGATGATATGTTGATAGTGGGACAGGTTGTTCAGTTAATTCGCAGTTTGAAAAAAGATCTGTTCAAGTTGTTTGACATGAAAAATCTTGGACCAGTAAGGCAAATTTTGGGAATGCATATTTGTCATGATAGGAAAGCTAGAAAGTTATGGTTATCATAAGAGAAATATGTATAGAGAGTGTTGGAAAGGTTTAACATGAACCTTTTGGGATACCACTTGGTAGTCACTTCAAATTGAATAAGGTGACTTGTCTTTCTAAGGAGAAAGATAAAGAAAGAATGGCAAAGATTTCTTACTCCTTTGCGGTTGGGAGTCTAATGTATGTCATGGTTTGTACACAGCCAAATATTGCTCATGCAGTTGGGATAGTCAGGAGGTTTCTTGTTAATTTCGGTAAAGATCATTGAGAGGCAGTGAAATGGATCTTTAGATACCTAAGAGGTACTTCTAAGACGTGCTTGACATTTGAAGGTTCAAAACCAATTTTGGAGGGCTTTACAGATGCAGATATGGATGATGATCTTGATGGTAGAAAATCAATTTCAGGATATTTGATTACTTTTGCAGGGGGAGCTGTCTCATGGCAGTCAAAATTACAAAAGTGTGTTGTCTTATCTACAACTGATGCTGAGTATATTGCAGCAACTAAAGCAGTGAAAGAAATGCTTTGGATGAAACGATTTCTCCAAGATTTGGGTTTGAAGCAAGATGTGTATGTAGTCAATTATGACAGTCAGAGTGCATTAGACTTGAGCAAGAATGCTACTTATCATTCTCGGACGAAGCACATTGATGTGAGATATTATTGGCTACAACAGGTAGTAGCAGAACAATTGATATTGTTAGAAAAGATTCATACAGAGAAGAATCCAGTTGATATGATGACAAAGGTTGTGACCAGAGAAAATCTTGAGCTTTGTGCCGAACTGGCCGGCATGGATTCTAACTAATTTGTTATAGGGTAGTCTCCTTCCTCAATGGGCTGGAGAGAGAGATTATTGAGTGGGTCCAGCCCATTGCAGCCCATTAAAACCCATTTAAGCCCAATCTGCTAAATTATCTTTAATTAATTTAAAAACATAGCTGAGAGGAATTGTTGCTGAAGTAAAAAACGGTGGCTATATATATATATATATATATATATATATGTATAATTAAGACTTGGGGTCCATCTTAATAAGGTTGACCTTATTAAGGTGGAACTCCAAGTCTTAACATGTTATCAAGCCCATTAAGTTTCAACTAACAATTCGATCCAGTTAAGACTCTAAAAATGAGCACACGAATTTCAAGATTGATGTGCTCAACTGAGCCTCCATCTTATGGAGGCATATTAAGTGATAAAAATTTTACATCGATTAAATATCGAAATAATTACCGACTTAAAAAGATTTTAGATTACTCCTTTTAATAAGGTTGACCTTTATATATATATATATACATCTCTCTCTCGGTAGCATTGTGAGACGCGTGAGAGAGAGACACAATTCTGTGGCTTCCAAATTGTAAGAGAGAGAAAGACAAAAACTTTTAATTGTGTGAGAGAAAAACAAAAGGCTACCATTAGAAAAGTCAACAAAGGCGGCTACAATTGAAGAAAAGAAAAACCCTGCTGTGCGTGAAGAAGAGGAAAACTGAGGTTGCTGGGAAGAAAAATAATAATTGGAAGGGAAGCTATTCTTTCAATTTTGGTGTGGATTCACACAGGTTATTTTTCTTCTCTATATAATACAAATTGAAATTTTCTTTAAGTTGTATTTTTGGTACTTCATATGTGTACCATTCAAAATGGTTTCTTACAAGATTAATCAATTTGGCGATTTGTGGTGAGATAAATTATTGTCTTAGGGATTGGTTATTGTGGTAATTTCAATTTGTGGAAAATTCAAGTTTTGGGGGGCATAAATTTAAATATTGTAATCTATATATTAATTATTATAGTGGATTTTGGTCGGAGTTGTCCTATGGTTTTTTCCTCTACACTGGAGGATTTTTTCCACGTAAAAATTTGGTATTGCGTTTTTTTTTCATTTTTTCTTGGATTATTTATTTGCATAATTAATTGTTCTAGTTAATTGCTTGGATAAGTAAAATTATTCTTGCAATAATTGAAATGGCCCAACAAGCACATAGTCCTAAGTTATAACACTACAACTAGACATGAATAGGATGACAAGCTCAAGCCCAAAAGCCTCTATAATGGGGTGAAGGGAAACTGAAAAAGGGGATCGAACCAAGAAATCTCTTTATACTATTATACAAAATTCAGTAATCTTGTGTCTTTATTCTACTTGGTTTCTAGCATTATAACATCATTACTTTATGTAAATTCATATTAGTTGATCAATAAATGTCACATCATTTCTTACCATCAACAGGCAAATATTTCGTCGTGTAAAAGTATTAAGTAGATCACCGCCCACAGGAGGATACATTGTAGTCAAAATAGAAAAAGAAATAATAATAATAATAATAATAATATTAATATGAAAATGTTTTATTAATACAATAAATTTTGTTTTTAAAATTTTTAATGTAAATCACATCATTTTTATGAATATGAGCCTCATTATTTTAGCACACTGCATGCTCCAAAAATGTAGTTGAAGTCATTAGCATTTAAAGTTTGTTTAACAATTTTTTGGGAGAGTGACAAAGCAACAAATTTAATATTATAGATACAATCTTCTATATAAAATCACATATTTGAAATGCTTCAACCATACAACTCAAATTCAAACTTAGGGTTGACTAATTAGGACATTATTATTTGTCCATAGATCCGATTTAGTCACTTAGAAACCATGTGAGTTGCAATCGAATGATTTTGACCAATGGAAATTGGGATGAAGTAATTTTCTCAGAAGTTGAATCTAGCCACAATTTTTTTATAGGATAATTAATGTTATCAGTCACGTTATATATATATATATATATATAAAGCATCATACAAGCATGTGCAGATTAAGAAAACATGTGCAATAATATACCATTTAAATTGTTTATTAAACTTGCATAAGAATCAGCAGATCTTTTCCGGAGATTACAATAAAGAATCATATTACACAAATATAATTGTTGACATGCGGAATGACCGAACACTCTTACCTTGGGGTTCGGGCATTATTTTATTCACGAGGAGTCCACGCTCCATGTGACGGTCGGTCACCAAAATTCGGATACTTTGACATTTTCCTACAATAAATTGGGTAAAACTCCCCCCATAAAGTGACAGTTTTTGCAGGCTCAAGTTATCGGTAAATCTTCGAACAATGCTTATAATTTCAATGGATTATGAGTTTGGTTAGACTTATAATATACTTTTTTAAGTATTTTTTCCTTTTTACTTAAGTGCTAAACGTGCTCGAAGTAGTCGCTCTTGTCTAAACTTCACTAACGAAGCAAAGGTTGTTAAGGAATAAATGCCATATCGAATAAAAATGAAAAATATAGACCAACTTTGGACTACTCTTACCAAGATAAAATGGAACTACAAATTTTAATATGATATTAGAGTCCACTAAACTCCACGAATAATTCGATTCGATTAAGATTAAATTATAGCACAGGTTTCAAGATTAGTCTACTCAAACTAATCACTATCTTGTGGAAGCACATTAAGGGATAAATCCCATACCAAATAAAGATGAAAAATATAAACTAACTTATAAAAAATTGTGCTACTCTTCTTAACAAGGTTAAATTTTTAAGATAATATCCGAAGTCTTAATAAAGGCTTATATCAAACACAAGAAAATTAACAGAATTTTTATTTTTTTTTCCCCTTTTTTTCCCAACATCTTCTTTATGTACCACAAGAAGCTTACTGTTTTTCTACTTGATATACAAAATGACAATTCACTACACTAGTCTCTACAATCATATTCTTTCCTTTTGTGCTTGCTGATATACAAATATCGGATAACCCAAAAGAAATTTGTCACAAAATAATGTTCGAAAAGGAGCTAAAGTTACTGTGATTGACGATGCAAACTCTTCTTCTTTTGAGCAATGGAGTAGTAGTACACGCGCAGCAAGCGCTTACGGAACCTTCCTAGATTCAGCCTCACAGTTTGACGGTCGAGATAGATCTTCTTTGTGAATTCCCATCCCCTGTCATTCACACTCTGTGGATCGATTAAAACGGGATCATATTTGTCATAATCATCGTACAACGAGCTTTCCATCGGAAGGATTTTGTAGCCAATGTACCTCAAACCAAATTTCACTGCTGGTTCCCCGTAATAAGTTTCTGCTGCCCAATCTGTGCCAAGAGGAATGACCTGAATGAGAACAGAACCCGGCTTCATAAAGAGAAAGTGAGTCATGGCAGCACCATGGACTCCAATCATAACATCACTTGAATTAAGAACTCGGTAAGTTTTTGCAAGTTCTGATGTCCTTTGAGGCCTTAATACTTCAACCACAAACCCGATATCCTCTGCCATTTTGACCAGCAAATCTTCGTTGTTAATCGCTCTTGAACCATTCCGAGAAACTATAACCAGTTTAGGCCTCTTTGATTCTTGTTTCTCTTTTATTGTATCTATCAGATTATCTGATGATGGGGATAGAGCAGATTTCTCTGTTTTCAACTGAGCTTCACCCTCCTCCTCTTGAATGAGACCTCTAATTCGAGGCCAGTATGCCTGGTTTAGTAGTTCTCGGAAGTCTCTTATAGTCTTATTCCCTTCCATCGATGAAGAATTAACAGTGAGCTCATCGTGGATTCTTAAGCCAACAATAGCTTCCGGGAAGCAATGAATTCGTTTATCTCCACTAAAATCTATGGCCGGAAAATCAGAGAGCTGAGACAGTATGTCACCATACTTCATGATCCACCAGTTATGATATTCAAGAATGACAAAAACAACCTTCTTGTTCAGATGCTGAGAAGTAATGTACAGAGGCAAAATCCCATCATTAAATTCGTGGTAAAGATTACCCGTAAAGCCTCCCGTAGAAAAGAACACAGCTGTGACATTGTGCTGGACATCGCACCGGTGATGGATGCTGGATTCTTTTCCTTTTACTTTGAGGTTTAACTCATCAATAGTGGCCATTACACTGGTTTCCCATTTCCTAGAATAGGGCTTGATCTTTTCCTGCTGAATAACTTCTAGCTCGTCATTTTCACCATCAGATGGGGCCGAAACAAAATCATTCACTCCATTGTTTCTATAGAGGAAGATAGAAGAGGAGGCAGAGTGAGTTCTCACATCCCCTTTCATTATGCATATATCTGACCTCATGCTGCTTCTATCACAACAAATAGTTCCTGCATTTGGAAAAATCATGTCATAAATTCAGAATTAAATAGGAAAAAGCTATCTACCCATTTCTCCAAAATTCTTATCGTTTTAATAGTATCTAAATATGCTAGAATAGTCAAGGAAACAATAAGAACAGCAAAATATATCCAAACTTAGGCATTAATTGAAAGAAAAAGCTAGTAATTATTCCATAGCCCACTTGATTGAAGATACATATAAATGTTATGATTTATGCCTACCCCACAATTATCAGGCTCCCAAAGATTTCCCCAACCCTTACCCCACCCCAACCGCACCCCACCCCACCCATACAGAAAAACAGAGAGAAAATAAAATATATGAGGGTTTTGAGCATACTAACCATTAGGAACAGAGGAACATAAACCATTTCCATCTGGTTCAGAACCAAGCCCTTCATCATCAAACCGAAAAGGATCAGCAAAGCCACACAAAACAAAAACTATAAATAAACTAAGAAGTATTATAAAAAAAAGAAAAAAAAGCGAAGAAAAAAATAGGAAATAGGGCTTACAAAATACTGAGAAGTTGGAGTTTGAGGACAGGATCTGAGGTGCCAAAATCAAGCTGCAAGATAAGAGAGATAGAACAGCGAAATATAAAAGCTTGGGACTTGGCTTCTTATTGCAGTAACCAGAGTTTCCACATATCGAACGGAGGTAGGACTCTTCGTCATCATGAACCACGTGTTCTTTGTTTTTCTTCCAGTGATTATACAGATTGTATCTCTGGTATTTCACCATTCTTCACGCAACCTTAACAAGCTTTAGAGAGAAAGAACTCCAGAGAGAGAGAGAGATTATGGCGTAAAAGAGAGAACTTTGGGTTAGATAAAGAGAGGAATAAAGGGTATGGCTGGTTTGCTTGCGGTTTGGTATTTTTGCCTGATTTGCCATTGCTCTGCCTCTGTTTATTGGTTAAATGAGAGAGGAGTGGGGGGAATATCTACATGAAGTTTAGGGGGCCCAAAAATAAGCCTGTTCAGTTAATAAAAAATATGTAAATAAATAAAGAAATGATAATTATTTGACCTAACTCGATCTCGAATTAAAAAAAAATTAATTTTTTTTTATTATGTTATTCATAACTATTTAATTTTCTTATTCAATATGCAACATTGGAAATGAAGAGTCAGGGTACCCCACAACTTATAAGCAATTTCAAACATGCTGCTTGTATTAGTAATACTGCCAACGCCAAAAACTTGGTAAGTTTGATGTGACCAACAGCTTATTATATAAAAAATAATAATTATTTTATTAGACATAGTCCGTGTCCGAGGTGGGAAAGGTGGCGAGCCTAACGCGTACTGAAGACTGAAATCCATACGTTTAGAACAGCGAATGCATCAGATGCATCTATGACAACTGTTTTATTGGAGGACGCAATATTTGAAAGCAATAGCAACCCTGGCCCAATATATATATGGAAATTGCTCTGTACCTGACCCAGTCAGGGGTCGGTCCTACATTAAAAAAAAAAAAAAAAAAAATGCCGAGGCTCACACTGTGAGTGTCTGGCAAGGGTCTGTAAAGACAAACCCTTGTAAATGTAGCAGGGTCGTGTATATATATAAGATTGGTGTTAGAACATCAATTTAAGAGTTTGTTTGGTAGGAATTTTGATAATTCATTTTTGGATCATTAGAGATAAAACAGGTCTTACCTTTAAGAGAAGAATTCAAAAATAATGGTTGGAATAATGAAATAACAATTAAAAAATTGATTTTAATTGACTTTTAATTTGTACCAAACGAGCACTAAATCTATAATAATAATAATAATAATAATAATAATAATAATAATAATAATAATAATAATAATAAAATTTCATATTAAGTGAAAATAATTTTTTGAACTATTTTAACCCTATTATAATTCAATTATTTCAATAATACCTTACTTTTCATTTTTCAATATATTAATAAATATTGTATAATTCTTGTCATGTACAAATTTCGTATTATTAATTCTCAATTAATTAACAATTACATTAATATAGACTAAATGAATCTTGATCTACTTGAATCTAGAGTTATTATAAATGAATTTATTTTCATTCATGTATATAGGAATTTTAATGTGTTTGTATTTATGTACTAACAATTAATTCTTATGTACCAAATGCAATAAAAATGTTATTCGTTTGTAATATTTCATTATCAAAAAATTTAGAATCACAGAAGTTGAGATTTAAGGATACAATTTTTTATTCTCTTTAATTCCTTTTGAGACTTATCAAATCCTCAAAACAAATTTGTATAAAAAATATTTATTTTATATAAAGTATTTCAGAATAACGCGCAACGTACATTCAATTTTGACTAGTAGTACTAAGTGCCGTTAGATGAAAAAAAATGAAAATATTAGGTTTTTTTTTGTCCAAATTCAGTCATTTATAAATTCAAATTATCTTTTTTCATATTCTTGTTGAAATTAGGGTTCATTTATTGTTTATATTAGTTTTAGTTGTATTGTTTAGAAGGGTAAGTCGAGGTTACTTCTTTCTTTTATTAAAAAGTTAAGATTAAATTTTTAATAGATTTAGAATTTATTGTAAATTGGTTGTTTTTTTATTGAAGTAATTAAATAAAAACATTTTGAGATGATTTTCTTCGTACTTTATCCAAATTTTCGATAATCTACACGAATTACTCAATTTTTAAAGTGTTAATCGGCATTTTGCAATATTTCTAGTCAAGCCGCCCTTCATCCTTGAATAATTATCTTTGTTTATCATGATTGCCATTGATAACGCGGGATGAAACCTTTTATGCATCTAGAAAAATCAAGTGATGATATAAAAAAATTTCTAAAAAAATATATAAAATAACAAAGAATGTTCAAAATAGTATTTTCTTTCTATTTTGCGTCTCACTTTTGAAGTTCAAACACACAAATACGTGTACAGGGTAAAGATTTCTCATTTCGAAAATGCTGAACAAACGATGACTAAAAACCGGAGAAAAATAAAAGGGATAATTTGACAGCCTATGATTAAGTGCTTTTATGTGTTTTTTCCCAATTTATAATGAAAATCTATCAAGTATTGTCCCAAAAATAATAATAATAATAATAATAATAATAATAATAACAACCATTCTACAAGTACATCACATTTCACACCCTTTTTCACAGCGCGCACACACATGCAAGTGGGTAGGGTCTACGATTAAAATAATCGTGAACTCCACCTTTGCGAGGAAGTGTGAAAATTGCTGTACAAACAGCATTTTTGTAATAATAATATGTCATCGACTCTGATTGCATTGCATAATCATTCCTTTTTCTTCAATACTTGTTTAATAATGCTTGGAAACTTCATAAAAAAATAGAGATAAAAGTTAATCAGAAATTTTAATCTTATATTGGACTCACATTATACATCCATCACTCCTTTTTATGAAAATCAACTTTTTAGTTCTCCCTTATAAGAACTTAATTATGTGGATATTTCCAGGGATAACTCCAACGCAAATTATCCTGTAAATAAGTGTAAAAAAAATCTTGAATTATCAAATATTTTGTGGACTGAACTATTTTATTAAGGCGAGAATCGCCATAATTACGATAATAATGTGAATTTTATAATCTAAAACACAACGCATAGCCTAAAAAGCAGGTTAGGAATCCGACGCCACTAACTATACTGGCGGATATATACCGAGAAATTATTTTTACTGCTTATTTCTGAATTCTTCAATTAAAAAGTTTAAATTAATTAATTAAGATTCCAATTAATAAGAAAATGTGGAGAAACCCCAGAGCCGGTTCGATAGTGAGTATCAAAATTGATTTTTTGATCGTTAGAGAAAAATGGATCCCATCTGTAAATGAAGACGTCAAAATGACGACTGAAATAATGAATAACTGTCAAGAAATTGAATTTTTATGGTGAAAATTGCTACCGAAGGAGGCTTAATAAAGTTTAAGGTCCTCAAAGCCAACGTTGGCGGCGGCAATTAGAGTTCATATTTTATAAAAAGGTGACAACTTTTGCACAAATATGAAGTTTTAATCTTATATTGGACTCACATTATACATCCATCACTCCTTTTTATGAAAATAAACTTTTTAGTTCTCCCGTATAAGAACTTAATTATGTTGATATTTCCTGGGATAACTCCAATGCAAATTTTCCTGTAAATAAGTGTAAAAAAATCTTGAATTATCAAATATTTTGTGGACTGAAACTATTTTATTGAGGCGAGAATCTCCAAAATTACGATAATAATGGGAATTTTATAATCTAAAACACAACGCATAGCCTAAAAAGCAGGATTGGAATCCGATGCCACTAACTATACTGGAGGATATATACTGAGAAATTATTTTTACTGCTTATTTCTGAATTCTTCAGTTAAAAAGTTTAAATTAATTAATTAAGATTCCAATTTAATAAAAAAAATGTGTAGACGCCTTAATGAAGTGTAAGTTCCTCAAAGCCAAAGTTGGCGGCGTGAATTAGAGTTTATATTTTATAAAAAGGTGACAACTTTTGCACACTGCAATAAAATTGCCAACCTTTTTTGCCACATTATTTATTCATCAATTTGTCATAGAAAATTAAAAAAGTAATAATAATAATAATAATAACATGCAAAGATTTGCATAGTCCAGGTCACGTTCAATTTCAGAGAACAAAGATTAATTTATTTATTTCTGCAATCTTAAAAAAAACATATTTTTTGACAAAATCTAAAAGGATAACTTTAATATTTCTTCTCGATCTGAAACAGTAATATGTGATAATAACAATATGAAATGCAAAAATGAACTTTTTAAACGGGAAGAATTACATTTTGTAGTCTTCAATTTATATTTACATGAGCACTTTAAAGACCAATTAGGTCCAATCTAGTTGTTGAATATATCATGCTAGTGGTTTGTAAACGGTCAAAGATTTGATTTAAAGATTGTTCGTCAAATAATTTTATTATAAATTAGGATCCATTTAATTGTAAGAATGAAATTTGGGTAAAAAGAAAACGAATTCTAAGGAATTGAATTGTTTAGAACTTGTTTTATTGAAAATTATCAATTAAATGTGTTTGATTGATATACTTTTTCACCTGAAAAGTATTAAAATTTTGAATCTTTTGGTATTCGTTTGGTTTTATTTTTCACGAAAACTGTTAATTAAAGGAATATAATTTATTACAATTGTAGATAAAATTTGTTCTAATAGCCAAAAAAAAAAAAAAAAAAAGGGTGGAAAACCAATTCCCACAAAAAATTCATGGTACCAAAAGGTGGAAAATTCCATGGAAAATGTACCATATCAAACAGGACCTTATTTTTTTCGAAAATCATTTTCAATAACACAGTTTACTGGATTAGCATATTCTCTAAAATAATAATTTTTTCTTAGAACATTATATGTGTCAAATGTGCTTTTAACTGGCTATTTATATTCATATTTACAACAATTGACAAAATAGTATTCGATCTTAAAATTTGTACTTTGTCTATGTTTGAGAAGCAATATAAGTTACCTATAATTTTCAGTCGAGCTTTTATAGTAGTAGACTGTAATGTATTAACCTGATCCAAGTGATATTCTTCTTGATCATTAATGTCTTTTCCGACTCAGTACTCGGTGCTCTAGTAGATGGCGTTATTTTAACTCATATACGCAATTACCATCCATACTTTTCCTGAACCCATTTTTCTCTCCTTATAAGAAAATTATAATGAAACAGCAACACAACTAATTAACGTGCTTAAGTTGTTACTTTCGCTTTATATTACACTCGCCTGAGAAAAAAAAAATCTTTTTATTTTTAACATTCTAGTATGGTTATACAATTATTTTCGCTGAATTGCTTTATTGACAAACTAAGTTAAATGAAAATAATAAATATCTTATTTCTCGTTTGTGCGCTTGTGTGTGTGTGTGTGAGAGAGAGAGAGAGAGACGCATTTTGGTTTAATTCTACCTAGGAATTCCACGGTGC